CGCGGCTGCGTGGTGCTTGACCAATCATTTCTCAGGAAACACTGAACAAAAGAGGCTCACGCTAGCTTTTCATGTCAAGCCATCTGTACCACTGGAGCACATGGTATTTGGAACACGTACATGGGAATTCTCACCTTCCCAAGTCTGCCTTGACCGCTTTGTGCCAGTGCATAATCCCTGACCTGATCCAAACGTAGCCAAAAACGAGATCAACGCAAAGCTCGCAAAAGCAGCTTGCTCATGCATTGCAATGCAACATTTCGTTTGAACCAAGTGTGTGTCAGGAATACTAGGAAAGGTAGATCTTTTGCTGTATTTAGTTAGGATGCAAGACGGCTGACGACCAAAAGCCGGCCGATCATAAGATGGTCACCGCCACGAGTTTGGCTTTCGGACGGTGTGCATGGGCAAACCAAGTCCTATATCATCCTGCCACCAGTAGCTGGCTAACGTTTACGGCCACGAGTTCTTCCACAATGACCTAGGTCGTATGGCAGCCAAAGTTGGACGAAGAATCTCGAGTTCAGTGGTCTTTCGGCTTTGTGGAAAGCTAGGCCAATCTCGAGTGGCCCGTTTGGCCTGTGGAATCTTGTGGGCACGCGACGTGAGAAAAGCACCTTTGACCTCACCTGGGAGAGCCACATCTATGTCTCCGGGGGCTTGCGCTTGCGCTGCCAGCTGTGGCGCTCCGATGGTAAGTAAACTTAGCCGCCTTCTTTTCAGGGAAGTGATGTTCTCCAATTGTCCGGGACGAGCGATGCACCGTTGAGGGTGAAATATAGAACAAGAAAATTAAAAAGCTGTAGCTTTTCATGTCAGGCCATCCAATTATATCCAGGATGATGTGTTAAATCTTGATTGAGCAATTTGGTTGTGGCCACTTCTTGAATGCCTCAAACCCGGCAAGATGACATAGTGAGGCACATACCCGCAGCAGCAACTTTGGAATCAGGTGTGGGGGATGGATCTGCTCGGGACCATGCCTGTGTGTGCCAATGGCAAGATGAAAAAGGCAAATGAGCAGCGTCAGAAACCTCCCACGAACAGTTTAAGCAAACTTGTAAACTCCAACTTGCCTGCGGAAGCCAGAACTGCAGTCGAGGAAGCTTGCGGAAGCCACCGCGCAAGTATATGGTACAATTCACCATCGCTGAAGCTTTGCAGAAGTGCACATGTTATTTTCTTGAATATCTTGAATCTTCTTGCCAATAACAAATGCCTCTATACTTTAAGGAGATTTGTCTAACCTATGAGCACTTTTGAGAAATACATCGCGGAAGCGCCGCGGAAGAGGATTTCAACCAAACATGGCCCGCGGAAGCCAAAACACAGGTCGCGGAAGCTCCGCGCAAGCATTGGCGGAAGCAAGTCATGAGTATAACAGATCGTAGACCGGTTTTTGACACCGCTCATGTGAGCATGTCAAGCCAAAACCATTGATTTGCAGAAGGACATCACATAATTGGACAGATCGTGTCAGTTGCTGCATAGGCTTCAGAAGACATGTGTAGTGGGTGCTTGGCGTGCGCGTCGCCTAGTGTTCTTTACTGCTGGCGGCAAACTTTGGACTAAAAAGGTTTGTTTCTGCCAGAAGTGTTGCCCAATTAAACCTGGCCGCGACACCTTGAGTAGTGAAGCTTGGAGAGCTAGCTGCGACTTGTTCGCTTTCGGTGTTTCTCCGGTCTCCCGAGACGAGACGTGATCCCCAAGGTGTTGTAGCCTGGTTGACTTCTGCCACCTGCGCTCAAAAAGGTCCTCCTTGGGTGCCTGCTTTATGGCCCTACTCAGTTGGCCCAATCGTCAACTCCACCTGAGGAATCAGACATCAATCCTCAACATCAATCCGTCGGACGGAGTTCGTTGCACAAGGCCTGGATGGTGGGCAACGTCCATTGCAGCCAGGCCAGTTCCAGCTTCGTCGCTGAGATCTCGGGACCTGGGAGCGCTAAAGTGCTGGGCGAGCTTCGCCCGGGTTTCTGAGCGACGCGTCTTTTGAAAGACCTCAACACGGAGAGGTGTTCGAAGCAGGAGACGCTGTTCATTCGATTGCTGTGTGAATTCTGTAGCTCAAGAAATGGAAGAACACAACACTTATTGAGAGAACACACATACATGGCTGTTTGAAGAGCGCAAACCAACCTTGAAGGCATGTTATTATCCATCCGAATGGGTGTTTACAGAGCTCGATCCCTGTACATGCCAGATATACAGGTTCATGTGGGAAAAGGTTGAGCGTTCCAAGGTTTCCGTGTGACCAGAGTTCAGCGCGAAGTGGGCTCAGCGTTGGGAGATCGGATCAAAACGAACTCCAAGTCTCAGGAACAGAGTCGAGGCAACCCAAAGAGATGCCTATGTTTGATTTCGTTATGGGAATATTGGGGAATAACACCCAGTGCAATGTAAGTGGCCAAAGTGAGTCTTGACCTCAATAAAAGCCGAGTAACACCCTCCAGCTTTCAGTCTTATTCTTTTAAGCAAAGATTCCAAGCCTTTAACTTTCAGGCCCTTGCGTAACACGGAGCGAACGTCGGTTCCTCGATGATGGGCCTTTGATGTTGTTGGTTTTAACCAGACAAGTCCTAAATGCAGCATGCTCGCAGGAGTGTCGAAAACAACACCAGCAAAGTTGGACATGAATTGCAGAGTTCAGAACCTGGACTCCAAATAGCAGTGCCTGTGACACTCCACTTGTCTCAACATTTTTCTCTTGTGGTTCCAGTGCCTCTTCAGACTTGGGCAGTGAGTTTGGCATCTCATTCCGAAATGCTTGATCTCAGAGTCGAATAGTTTTTCGAAATGCTGTCGGAGAGCTCGTTCCAACCCATGAGCTGCGGTTGCTCTTCATGCTAGCGGTAGCGGCGACAAGGATTGTGGTCGGTTCTTGGCACAAGCGAAGGGTCTATTTGATGTGAAGGGTCCCAGGGTCTAGTTGATACCAGTCTTTGTGGTAGCGACTTTCGTCCGAAGATGATTCCCCGTCGAGCTGATGTTGAGAACAGGATGCTTCAAAATCTGGAGCCCTGGGCCACCATGTAGTGAAAGACATTCCAGTAATTCAACCAAGGTATCCTGGTGCCATGACCCACAGCCAACTGATGAGTGGTTCCATGTATCTTTACGTTCCACAGCTTTTTGCGCACCTCGATCCATTGAGCAAGGCAAGGCCATGACCATCCGCCGAACCATTGCCGCCGTTGCAAGCAGCTTTGCTATGCTAGCACTCCATTGTTTGGCCAAAAAACACACGTCCATCGTGAGCAGTTCGTTGGCTGGGCGTTTCCTAGGTTAAATGATGGATACTTGGCGGAGTTGGTGTCACTTCCATCCACAAGTGCCCTCGATTTGGATCAGACACCTTCTCAAGAAGAAGTGGCTCGTCTTCTGCCGCAGGTCTATGAACCAAGTCCCCAGCGGTTGTGAGTTGTTGGGGACTTGGCTTTCCAGTCATCAGAGCAGCTCGCGCAAAGCCCGGTCGTGCACATGTCCAAGGTAGTTCCTGGCAGTGACACTATCTTCGACCTAAAGTTCATGTGCGTGTGTCAGATAAGGTCTCATAGAGGAGGGCTGCACATCACACCATCAAGAGACATTGTATGTTACTCTACCCTGACCACTTAGGCCATACTCTTGGAAATGTGGCCTCAAAATGCATAGGTAGAGCCGGTAGAGCATTTTATGTTACTCTACCTTGTGCAGACCACCCTCTCATGCAGAGCAAGGGGCCCGAAGGGGCCTGGAAACACAGCCGACGCCGCTGAGTGGAGAATATATTGCCGTGTCCAAAGCGCCTTGCGGCATAATTGGCCCACGGGATAAGCTTTGCAGCTTTGCAGCTGTTTTCTTTTCTGTGGAGATTTGACTCAATCGGAGGTTACGCCAGAAAATCTGGCGCAGAACCATAGATATACCTGAGCAGTTGATTGGCAATGCAGGGACAACGCGTAAACCATTTGGCATTCTGTTGCTGAGATCCAACGAAATCAGAGCCAGTTGCAAAAAGGACAGAGCGAGCACTGTTCTCTTATTTCTTTGTTTCATGAATGAGCCTAGAAGGATATCCGTTTCGAACGGAATCAATCCGGCAGATACGAACACATCCAACAGCCAACTTGCCTCTGTTGGTGTAGAGATCAGTTTTACTACCGCGCGTGTGGCTGGGCAGGCCAGCTTTGGGCTGGCTGGGCAGGTCCATTAGAGGACGTTTGACCCTCAATTGGATCCTTTTTCTCAAAGAGGCCTTGTTGGCAGATGTATGTATTCATGTTGATGTCTGAACCCTAGGCAGCATCACAGCTACTGGTATAGGTTCTTCGGTGTGTGTTCTTGCTTTCTGTCTTCTATGTTTGATGGATTTTGATGGTATCTTCTTGATAGAAGGTCTTTGCGGACTCACGGCTCCTAGTGTGATGCCGAGACGCCTCAAGAGACACTACAGCTGTGCTCTTCTAAACATGTGTGATCTCCTACTGTTTATGCACGAGCAACGCAAAGGACAAGGAGTTGCTTCTGAAAGCTATTGAGGACAGGAATTACTGAACACTTCGCAAGCTAAACTGAATCACGAAGACTTCAAATGTGTGAGGAAGATCACTCCTTTCATCAGAATAGTCATCACGGTAAGTCAGTAAGTCACTCCTTTTTGACTCTGTTTGTGTCAACTGGTGCCACACGTATCTCACACGTCGTCCGCGTCCGATTCCGTGCTCCGTCGTCCGATTCTCGGTGCTCTTCGTATTCGCGTTTGACCAACCACGGTTCCAATACCGGCTGGACCGCAGTTGAAGCGATCTGGACCGCATTGGTCAGCACATCTTGGATCGGATAACAAGGCAACATGTTTTATGTTTAACATGTTTGTTGGACTTTGGTAGTCTAAGCTATCCAAGACATCCAGGATCCTCCAGGCTTTCAGAAGGCTTCCAGTTTTTTTCAGGGAAAACCTCCACTCAGTTGGATGAAATTGCACTGGGGACTGATCCATGAAAATCATCGATCTCCGTGACTTTCAGAGCATCCGATCCCACTCCTCCGGCGCGCCCCTTCCCCCATGCTGTGGAACTTCCTGGGAGCCTTGGTTCCTCGGCGCCCGGCCAGTGGTGACCCGAGTCGGACGCAGCCAGATCCGTCAAAAGGGTTTGGGGTCACCACGGGGTCGTCAAAAGGGGCACCCCCGTGGGTGTTTCGGGCCCTTCCAGATGAAAGGACGGTGAAAGGACCCCGCTTTCCATGTGTGAAGACCCCTACCCCATCCTACCCCTCACATGGATGAGGCATAGATGTTTTCCCCAAAAATGGATAGAACAGTCACATCCCTGCCACTATCTATTCGGGCACCCCTATAGATGAGTCTGCTGATTTTCCGGTCCCCAATCGCAGAACTCGTTTTGCACCGATGCTCGTGGTTTGACACGGTTTGGTACACGGCGGTTCGATCGTAACGACCGCCGCAAGCGGGCGATCTGTTTGCATCAAGAAACTGGCGATTCAGATGACAAGGCACTTCATCTCCCCGTCCCGCCTGAACAGCCGAGAGATTCAATGAGATTCTATGAGTCCATCATGTCCACTCGTTGCAGATGCTTAGAGGAAACACATTGCATAGTATGGACATATCGATTTTGAATATCTTACATGTCCCAGACATATGAGCTCGTATAAACATCTTGCAAGGGTATCTCTCCAGGTCGACCTACTGTTCCTTTGACCCATCGAAGTCTTCCACAAGAACCTCTAGGAGTCGAACGGACAGATCCATTTTTGTCATATTTTTTTTCGGCCAGAAACCTTTTAACAGGCGAAGTCCTGGAACACACACACACCTTTGAAAAGGGCGGCACGACCTCGGACAGTTGATCTATTTGGTGGCATATGAATCCATACATTGGGGTGGTTTGAACAGGGGTCATGTACAGGGGCGGCATATATACCAGTCCCATGGAGCGTCTGGGATAGATGGAGATGCATATCACGCCTTCCGTCTCTCTCTCTCTCTCTCTCTTCGGTGAGTGCCTTCCTGAGTTTCCCAAGGCTCGCCGGCTCGGCTGGGCACCGAGCGCAGACGTGGTGCACGGGTCGGAGGCCCCACAGGTGGATGAAGCAATGACTATAAGTGTTCTTCCCAAATTGAAAATCTGTTCTTTTTTTTGAATAGGGGGACTTCCCAACCACTCAATCGATTTGTTGGTTTTCGATTTTTCCAGAGGTTTCTGGGGCGTTCCGGCATTCACATACGCACTTTGATCTAGGACGCAAGAATTCTGCTTGGTGGTGTGAAAACGAGCGAATCCCGGTGAAGCACCATCGTGCCGAAGGACCAGCTGGAGCAGCACTGCGCTCGCTCGCGCAGTCGAAGCCGAAGTCGCGAGAAGCAGGAGAGAGCGGATGAGGATACGACGCCCAAAGATGGCCGAACGACACCGCGACCGCTGGCTGAAGGCGATTTTGGTCGTCTCCAATTTAGAGAGAGAGAGAGAGTGCAAGCACAGTGGAAGAATCAAGCGTGATTGCTGAAAGAAGTGCAATGAATTCCTTTGCAGGATTTGTATCTCCTTGGCACACAAGTGGATGAGCACCACTGTTTTAGACGGTGAAGATATCTTGGCTCTTGGTCGGTTACGATCAAATGATGTGCATTAGGACCACTTCATCGTGTGTCTTGCAACATGTGTATTGCCAGTGCAGTCATGTTGAAAGACCCTTTTCTTCTTGGCCTTACTTTCACGTTTAGGCCGCCCGAAAGCAGCTGCGGAAGACGAAGAAGCTCCAAAGCCGAGCTTCCAGGGGTCTCCTGCGGCCGCGCCGGGCGCGCCAGCGCCCACGGCGCCTGCAGCGCCTGCCGCAGCGGCTCCTCCTATGTCGGATGCCTTGGATGTTCCACTCGTTGTGAGTGGCGGTCAGAATCAGACCATTCGTGAAATTGTGAGAGGCACCTATTTCCGCAGTGGCAGCAACCACGGAAAGCCCGTCTACAAGAAGAAGCGTGAGGTGATAGAAGACGATGATGATGATTTGGATGTTTTGATATACTTCTGGGATGAGCGAGATGGTGATGAAAATTGTGGCTGGTGGTTCAGCCCCAGCATTGGTGGCGACATGGTTTGGGCATACCACCCCAGTCGCAAGGCCTGCTAGTCTTGTTGAAGTAGTCAAGATTCCTCATGGTTCTTCTGCTTTTCAAGCTGGCAAAGAAGACAAGTCTGAATCACTCTGAAGTTGTTCTGACACATCTTGTTTGGATCTGTTGTACATGTGACCGTGCCCCCACGGCCGTTCTCAACCGCTCCCAGGCTGCGATGCCACCTTCAGCGGCCTGGAATGTGCCGCACGATGGGGCGATCGACTCGAGCTTCTCGGTGACTCCACAGCGAAGCGCCGAGGCGCGGTCCCCGCCGGTTCGCCGGTTCGACGACCGAAACGTCCCGTCCGGTAGACCCCGCCCGGTAGACCCCGCCCACGTCCACGTCATTCGATGTTTGTGGCAAGCTTCGGTGTTTCTTTTTTCGGTCCGGGCCGTAGGCGGTTCAGTACTGCCTCAGAGATTCATGGACTTCGGATGGGAAGCTTGGGGGTTAGAGCTTCCCAATGCTTCCCAGGCGACATGTGGTCCACTCGATCCTAAAATATTTTTAAGACTAGTTTTTCGCTTTTTGTTCTGCCTGGAATGAGAGGAACGCAATACTTTTAGAGAGCGAGTGATGGGAAGCGTGAGGGAGGAGCTTGGGATGTCACACATGTGGTGGCCAGATGATGTGAAGAAAGATGCCACCTACACCAAAACACCCAAACACACCCGATGTGCCGATCCAACTGGGGAACAGCCACGAGAGACGCCCCGTCTGAAACATGTCGGGTGTTTGGTCCGAAAGAGGGTTTTGGTCGCGGCTTGGTGAAAGACATATAAGAGCCAGCATATATATATATATCAAAATTGATCATCAACGTGTTTTTGGTCCGCAAAACTCCTTAGGAAGCTTTCAGCAGCTTTGTGTGTCAACGGCCTGCGCCCTGCGTTCCTTTGACTTGACTATACGTGTTCGGAAACGTGGTTCATTTCTTGCAGTGATCCGCGCCAACGACGATCCTAGTAATGGCATGTGGTGACGCCCGACACGCGGTGACGCAACTAGTAGCTTCTCCTAGTTGAAATGCCAGGAGCTACTAGCAGCGATGCCCTATGTTCCTATAGTAGCTTCTGTTTTGACGAATTCCGAAATCGCTCTTCAGAGGCGAGAAGCAGGAACAAGGCGAAGAAGGAAGAGCCTTCGAGTGCGCCACGAGAGAGCAGTCGAAGCCGAAGTCGGCAGAAGCAGGAGACGGCGGAGAAAAGACAGACGATGCTCCAAGATGGCCGAACAAAGACATTGAAAGGCCAGTGACCTTGGGGGATTTTTGGAAATCTGGATGAATAAGGAATGCTCACCTTTGAAGTCAGTTCCATCTTGCGGAGGGGTCACTCGTCAAATTCGCTGATCTTGAGGTTACAAATGGTTACATATAAAGCTGACCTAAGCTCCCAAATCAGGACATGTGACACGCGGAAGCTATAGTTCATATGCCCCAAAAGATGACGTATAGCAACACCAAAACAGAGATGAGATGAACACAGTGTCCATTACATCACATTTCTACGTGCTCTAGCTAGCATTGTAAATTGCAAGCTGAAATGAAACAGAGACGGTGTGAGAGTGAGGAAATGCCACTGCCACACTTCCACAAGATTCCGGACCTTTTGGCACGTCGACATCCAAGTTTGCCAGGCAACGTGAAAGCAAAGGAATCCGCACCGGCTTCCGCGGCTTCTTCGGCTTCTGCGGCTTCCGCGGCTTCTGCGGCAGCGCAAGCAAATCCCTTGGATGTTCCACTCGTTGTGAGTGGCGGTCAGAATCAGACCATTCGTGAAATTGTGAGAGGCACCTATTTCCGCAGTGGCAGCAACCACGGAAAGCCCGTCTACAAGAAGAAGCGTGAGGTGATAGAAGACGATGATGATGATTTGGATGTTTTGATATACTTCTGGGATGAGCGAGATGGTGATGAAAATTGTGGCTGGTGGTTCAGCCCCAGCATTGGTGGCGACATGGTTTGGGCATACCACCCCAGTCGCAAGGCATGGTTTCGCTGGAAGGAAGGGTTGAGATTTGTTTTAGTTTCACTCGGGTGTAGAAGATTGAGATCTGAAGGTGTTCCAACAGTACTGTATTATGAAAGTTGTACCAACGGATTTTGTGTTGGACATACTCTTAAAAAGTGCAATTGTTTGTTTGTTCAGTGTACAGCATGCTGAATTTGTGACATGAAACAGGACATGCTTTATGAAGCAGCATGAGCAGTGGCCATGGCACACCTATATAATAGTTATTTATTTGGGGACCGCTATATGATGCTCTATTTCTTTTTCGGATCCTAACCTGATTCTACACCAACATACAGTTACAGGATCTACCTTCCCAGCAGATGCTTTGTTTTCACCCATGTCAGCGCCGCGTTGCGCCAGGCCCTGACCCCACCTCCAGCCGCCTGGAATGTGCCACACGACATGCCGATCGACGTGACCTTCTCGGTGACCCCGGCGGCGGATACGCGCGCCTGATGCGAGGTGCGCGGTGAATCGACACGTCGAGTGTCTCTGGGAACGACACGAGTTCGGGCCTTTTGGGCCACCGATCTCAGCCGAAATGATCTCCCTATTCCCATATAGATGGTAATCATGTGCATGCAAATTGAGCCCTGCAAGTTGTGGGGCAACTTCAATGCCAGGGCGGTGGGTTTTTCCTGCGCCTCGCAGGGCCTGACGTGGATGCAGCGATCCTGCCTTGCCGATGCCTTTTCACACATTCATTTTTCGCGTTCACATGATGGTTCTGGAGGGTTCTAAAGTTCTGTTGGACTCTTTTGCTGGAAGCTGGTTGTTGCGTTTCAAGTGAACGCGCAAAACGCAAAGCCTTCACCCTTTGATGCCAAGTACAGTATGTGCTCTCATGAAGACCGAACGTCACTTCGAAGACGTTCCACGACGTCATGGCTGTGAGTCAAAATCCGGATTTCTCGTTCACCAGGCTAGATTGACATAGGTTGACCATATCAGGTAGTGGATCAACCAGGGTTGACCATATCGGTGCCATGACACACATCCGGATGCGAGGACGGCACACCGGTGCCATGTTGCGAACGGCGCCCAAGTTGTGTTGCCAAAAGTTCTGCAGAGTTCTGGCATCAGTTGAATATTCTCGCTTTTGTAGCGACATCGGCGCGTGGCAAAATCACATTGAAAGACTCAAACTACTGCAACAGTGAGACCGACATTGGGTGAAGTCCCAAATCGAACCACCTAGGTCTACAGGTCTTGCAAAGATGCTAGTGGACCAATCTATTCTTGGGGTCCTCATGTTGCTGGCCATAGACACTTCGGAACCATGTCGATGGTCGCAATATTGTAGCTGCAAGCTGCTCATGACCTCCAAGTCAGCAGTTTCCGCAAACGTAGATGCCTCCAGTCAACCTGCGGCCAGCTCAGCTACGGACGATGCACCACTAGTGATGGACCATGAAAACGAGTGTGTTCACAAGATTTTCGGGGGAAAAGTTGAATTTCCAAAAACATGTCTTGTTATATGACAATGAGCATCTCAAAGCGCCTCACCCAAGCTTCTTGGCGTTGCGCGCCATCGTGGGCGCAGCCATCGTGGGCGCAGCGCACGAGGCGGTGTCCGTCGCTCGAAGGGTCGGAGAGTCATGGCCGAAGAGTGGAAGCAACATACTCTTTTGGTTTTGGTTTCGGTGGGAGCCCGTAGATGTTTGTAGATATTGTTTTTTTCAACTCGTTACTTGACATGATTGATCCCACTGATATCTTTCAAGCTGAGTTGAAACCACCAGTTGAGCCAGTTCAGCGCCGTCATGCCGCGGTGGCCCCGCGCGCCGAGAGCGGTCGGTCGCCCAGAGCGTTCGGCGTGACGAGTTCGACTTCGATTTGAAGCGTTTAGAGGCCGACGATCTGAGAGATGTCTCCTGGGAAGAGATACTGGTTGATTGATACCGAGATGTCGCCCATGTGATAATTAGTTGATACCGAAAAATCACTCTCCAAGGATCCATGATCCATGTTCAGGGTTAGTTTTCAGGAGGGTAGGCTCTTGGGGTCTCTTCAGAAAGCTGGCCAGATGTACATTGTCTCATTGTGTTGTCATAGCATGTCATAGCTGCTGCTTGTCTTCCCTCAATGCACGGTTCAGTTGTGGTGCCACTCTGCTTGTCTTTGATTCTGAACATGAGGATTGCGGAACCACCTCTTGATACCTCTTGGCCTTTTCCAATTTGATGAGACTTCTTGTTTGACTCAAATTCTGTATGAGTCGATTGCAGTTCGTCGATTGCCGTTCTGTTCGTTGACCTAACTCATTTCACATCCTGTGGACCGTCGCGGCGACGGCGACGGAGATTAACGGCACTCAGAGGTTGGGATGACAAACTCCTGCCAAAGGAGAAGAACTCTGTTTAGATTTGTTTGGGTGGTCCTGCAACGATTTCTCGTGTTCTTTCGCGGTTAGAAGAGGGAACGTGCTTCGCGGTTAGAAGATGGAGGGAACGAGCGTTTTTGGGGGTGAATCACTTGTGATCCACTTGTGTCTGCTGTGCCAGTTCTCAGAGGGAATTGCACAGGTGCTTCGAAACGGATTAATCGAAACAACACAGCCGAAGGAAGGAAGACATTGACAGAATAGAACAGCTTAGAGCTTCCAATTGGCGTCGTTTCCAAATCTCTTTGGGGGTTTTCTAACATGTATGCGCCTTGCACCCTCCCAAGATTTCTGCGGAATGGCTACATGACGACTCGCGCGTGCGCTGTGCACCAATCCGCGCACGCATGAGCACGTTCCTGGAGCAATGGCCAGGTGAGAATCCAATTGGATGTGTGTGTGTGTGGGCACCCAGCTGAGATCTTTGAAGGGATGGCTGGCTGAGTGCTTGGTGGTTGACGTCAACAGTCAAGGGGTTTCGTTGATGGGCATGAGGACCTGGACCTGCCCAATTCGATGTGTTCAGGAAGACTTCCTTGCGGCGAGCCCGTGAATTTGAAAGATTCTATGTCCACCATGAATGCCTCCATTACCAGGCATGACGAAACCCAGAATCAGGCACTCAAAAAAAGCATTCAGTGACATGCCCTAGTGCTCTCCACTTTCACCATTTCCTTGCTCTCAAGCAGAACTGGCACAAGTGGTAACACCAAAGCAGCAGGTATCCAACTTAGAACGACGGACAGAAACATGACCAAATCTCGGATCCCTCACTTGTTCACTTGCCCTGAAGATCTCCAGATGGTGCTGAATATGGCCGATCCGGCCATTTTGGGAACAGCGGGCAAGGATGCGTTGCTGTGGCTCATCGTGCATGAGCACCAGATCAAGGAGATGAAGCAGCAGATGGCCGAGATGGCAGAGGAGATCGTGAAGCTCAGCCGCAACGAGCCACATAAGACCACGGCTCCGCATGAAGCGAACGAGTCCAGGACGGATGTTTTCTGCGAAGTGTCAGAGCTGTTGGACTTGAAGATGAGCGTGCAGGAGCTCAAGCGGTCGAATGAAGAAATGGCCAGAACTCTACATTCCTTGACGTCCGCACCTGCCGTAGAGGAGAGTCGCCTGGACCGTGTGAAAGTCGATGTGTCCAATATGGCGGGCGATGTGCTTCTGTTGGAGACTTTTCAGCTTAAACTTCCCCCAGCAATCTTGACCACAGAGGACCTTCGCAAGAAACTGGATTGCAATCATTTTGATCGCCTTGTGAGAGGGAGTGAAGTTGTTGGGAGCAAGATCATGGTAGAGAACGGCTGTCCCGAAGTAAGCCTTACGCTCTTGAAGGGCATCAATATCTTTGCCGGGCTCGAAGAAGATGAGGTGAACCGCATCCTCGGCAAGTGTGAAACCGACCCAGATGACGATACTAACTATCCTGGTCACCTTAAAGGCAGCCTTTTTGTTGCAAGAGGTTTTGAATATGATGAGGACAATACATACTTGTTTGATAATCCATACAATGGCTTTGAGCTCGTACTTCTGTGTCCTGATGGCCGCATTCTGGCAAAGTATTATTCCTGGGAAGAAGACGAGGAGGAGATTGCGATCATTGCAGAAGGTAGATTGTCGGAAGAAGACCGTGACACAGGAGTTTTACAGCTTCACTGGGATGCTCGTGCCATGAAGCGCCAGAATGCTCGTGAAAGATATGACTCTGACTCTGACGATGACCTGTATGAATGGCGAAGGCCGCGCTGGAAGCGAATCGAGGATTTTCCAGATGATTTCCCGACTGCCAGGTTTGCTAGAGGGATTTCAGACTCGCCGTGCACCTTATATCCTTTCTTGAAAGATGCAAAGACGTTTCGAACGCGTCACTTGTTCCACCTGTGGGACCTTGAAATCAATGACTCGAAGCACTATTGGCCCAGTTGGCCGTTGCGGGAGGAAGACATCGCCGAGCAGGAACCATTCCTTGACTTGACAGAGGAGCTCTTGATGAAGCTGGGAATGGATCCGGCCAATCTACCTGCGTGGAACTGGGGACAGGACGAATCGAGCGGGTCCAGCGGATCCAGCGGATCCAGCAGATCCAGCGAGTCCTAGAACGAGGAATCAGACGAGGGCCTCTTTGGGGCTTTTAAAGGCCGCTTTGCCCTCCAACCCAAAGAGCGATGGCCTCCAACATCAAAGATGAGTTTTCACTCTGCCTCCGAAGTTGATGCCTCCATGGCAGTTTGTTTGCACTGAAGTGATCCTTTGGCTGTCGGACATCCGACAGCCATCAAAGGCTTTCACCCAACACTCCGTTGTGAATCTCCTTCGCAGGGGTCCAACAGTGGCGCGTCGAACACCGACGATTGGGATCGATCTGAGGGGAGTACCTGGAACGTCGAGGCGACCGCCGTAGCCGTCGCAACTGAGAAGGTCGACTGAAACTCCAATTGCCTGTCATGTACCCATACCAACACCTACCTGATGCATTGATATCGGCAAAGTGATGTGGATGCAGCCGACCAAAACACTCCGACTCGCTCACATGGAAGTGGATGACACACACCACCTACGACTGGTCATCCGATTTCTTGGGGCCGCTTTCCATCCACCTGGACCTTCATGTCGGGGTTCCAGGATCTAGATCCACAACGGAATGTGTGTGGGTAGTCCATTAGAACCCCCGTGATCTTGGAAGGTGCTGGCATGGCTATGTAATGGTTACATACCCATGACTCTGACCATATCCTCCATAAAATGAGGGGTGTGCGCCCCCACACACAGAACTCATGTGGGTATGTATGATGTTATAACCATATGATTGGAACTCAGGGAGTGATTCGACCATTCGCCCAGGGGGGCCTCCGCGCCGAGGTCTCCAGTGCGGTGCGCTGCGGAGGCACCGAGGCAGATCAGCGGGCTCAGGGGTTGGTCGAAGAACGGTGCGGTGGAAAACCACGCTCGTGAGGCGTTAAAATCGCCGTTTTGACGTGAAAAAGAACACCGATTGGGTACTTGGTCACGATGAGACCCTTGCAGGGCGGCGGGGTGCAGCAGCCGGTGTGAGATAAGGTTCTTTCCTACAGGAAGGGAAACGACTCCTTCCAACTTGGATCTGCCAGAAGGTACGTTAAAGTTGACAGTTTGACTATATAATTGTTTTCTGGTTTGTGTGTGTGTCTCCTCGTTCTGATTCAATCTTCTGGCAGGAATGGAGATGCACAGGTCCAGAAATACGAGCTTTCTTGACTTCAAAACCCAGTGTGTTGCCTGGCAAAGCCTTTGTATGATGAAAACCGCTTCCTGCAGACAGGTCCGGAGTCTTCATGACATTCATTGCAAAGTGCGCATGCATTCAACAAGTATTAAGTTATATTTATCATTACTTCCATTGCCAGAAGCATTCATACACTTGCACGCTGACATAGATTGATGCCAGAGGCCACCATGCATGGCATCAACAGGGAGATCCATCAATCCATAGCCAAGTTTTGATGCCACACATGGCGATTTGGGTTGCGCTGCAACTTTGTTTGGTTTGCTTGACGGAGGCATCTGTGGGATCCTGGTGTCAGGCTGATCCCGGGAGTTGCATTGGGCAGCGTCACAGTCTTGAAAAGAAGGAGACACCAACTCTCAAGGGTGAACACTATGACGGAACCTTGCGCCTTGCGGATTGGGACGGCGATGGTGATACCGATGTGCTGGTGGGAGATGGAGGCTCGATCTGGTTCCATGAAAGACTGGCGCATGACGCCTTCCGCATGCACGAGTTAGTGAAGCTGCGTGCCAGAGAGGGGCAATTGCAGAGTCGCTTTGAAGTGGTTGACTGGGATGGTGACTTAGTAAGCTATCAATTGCCCTTTGGCAGTCTTTTTGCCATTCATCTCGTAGTTAACTAGTTGTAGTCGCGGCAAGTAGTAGTGTTTGGTCTCAAGCACCTCTGCAACCTAGGTGACAAACATTTGGACTTGTTGCTTTGCACCATGGTCGGGGATTTGGTGACTGTAAGCTTGTTGAATCGCTCCTCCCTCCTTCCCATGGAGAACATCTCGGAATTTCCTGAAATCATTCTGCTCACCCATGGATCTACGTGTGACATGTTGGCCAGGGACTTTGACGAGGACGGTGATGTGGATCTTATTCTTGGTGATGACAAATGGTTACCTTCATATTCAAGGTACTTTGAGCGTATTTCTGCCTATCGTGTGGTGGAGCGCACGGGAGATGACAATCCACTAAGTATTTTTAACGGCTCAGTGCAGCAGATTGCTGACATAGATGGCGATGGGCGGTTGGAAATCTTTTCAGGTCAGAAAAAACCCTTTGGGTCAGCCACTTTGAGCCATCTTCACTTACTCAGACGTGCTGCAGATGGCAGCCTTGTGGAGATGGAAAATTCTGTTTGGTCCCTCTCGGGTCCATTTGGATCTGATCTGGAGGTTGTATTCTTCTTTGAAATTCATGTGGCCGACTGGAACTCGGATGGGCTGCCGGATGTTCTCAAGGTGTCCGTCGTGGGCTTCGGTGAGAGTGTGACCAAGGGTAAGCTTAGGTGGTGGATTGAAGACTACCGTCAACATGTTCTGGATCTAGACATGAAACTCGATGTGGAAGCCTATGGGGACATTGAAGCAGGTTTCAAAGACCAGGAAATTGTTGTTGACTGGAATGGGGACGGCTTTGCAGATCTGGTCGTTCTGCGCAAGTCAAAAAGCTTGCATCTATACGAACATCGAGATGGGGAATTCAAAGAAGTACTTGATGTTTTCCAGAATGTCACAGCAAGCTTGCTGGGAAAGGGCACTGCCACAGCTGTCATAGTAGACTGGGACATAGATGGTGATTTGGACCTCATTATCTCAACTGAATCAGATGGCAAGTTGCACTACCATGAGATGGTTTCTGGGAACCTTTGCAAGGAAGAACTGCAGCATCCGTTCCAAAACATCACCATTGCACCAGACATCATCAAAGGAAAGAACTACTTTGGATATATCCAGCCTGTGATTGTTGACTGGGACAATGATGGTGACATGGACTTGTTTCTAGGACCTCCAGACGGGCGGTATTTTGAGCAGCTCTCAGATGGCACTCTACGCGAGTGGCCACGTGAGGAAAGCCCAGTCAGTGAGCTGGGAGATACTACTCGGACAAAATGGGACTTCGTGGACTGTGATGCAGATGGTGACTATGACCTCTTGCGAATGGAAGGGGGGGCAAACCCTCGAGTCCAGGTTTGTGAGCATAAGACCTCACATGTCCTGCGCTGTGACGACGCCTTTCCATGCTTAGGAACCAATTTGAGCAAGTTTCGCCCACAAAAGACTGGATGGAGAATGCAGTTGGGCAACGTGGCTGATGGCCGGCTCAAATTCATCACTTACGACTTTGCAGAAAGCAGGGCAGTCCTCTGGAGTTCGGGCATTTGTCTTCCAGCGGACCCTTGCCACTCAAAGGGCCTCTGTTTGAACAGGCGAGCGCATTGCAGTTGCATTGCAGGTCACGAGTTGGCTGATTGTTCCGGCTGCGAGCCGCATTTTTACAGCGTGCAGCGGAAGGTAGGGCAGATGCACGACTGCAAAGCATGCCCAGGTGCCCGTGGCAAGGTTTGCTACGGCCGAGGCAGCTGCTTTGATGATGCGGCAGGAAAGATGCTTGCTGAGGAATCTACAGCTCGGTTGATGGCCACAGGCAATGGCTCATGCAGTTGCAACGAGGTTCATTTCTATGGAAAGGACGAGGAAGGCCGAAGCACATGCATTCATGGCATTTGCCCAGCTGGCACCGAAGAGAACGATGGCAGTTGCAATCCCTGCGCTGGTGGGACCTTCTCATCAGAAGGTGGCTCTTGCACGCTTTGCCTTCCCGGAACCTTTTCTTTCGCAAGAGGCAGCATGTGTTTGACTTGTGCCCCAGGAACCGTTTCAACCGAATCAGGTGCTTCTGAGTGTGATGCATGTCCTGCAGGGACATATGAGGTTGATCATCAGTTGTGCAATGAGTGCGCAGCAGGCTTGGTTTCTGCTAGAGGTAGCAACACATGTACCAAATGCCCTGCTGGATCGCATGCACCAAAGTCCGGAAGCATCACATGTGAATCGTGTGCAGCAGGCACCTATGCAGGGGAGGCCAGCACAGAATGCAGGTCGTGTCCTTCAGGAACTATTTCAAGCGAAGCGAGTGGAAGCTGCAGCCCATGCGATGCTGGCAGTTTTGCTAAATCATCCCTTACATGTGAACAATGTCCTGGGGGCACCTTTTCCAACCCAGGAAGCAAGAACTGTCAGAGCTGCCTCCCTGGAAAGTTCTCCTTGACAGGAAGCAGCAACTGTTCTGACTGCCTTCCAGGAACAGTCTCATCACCAGGTAGTTGGTCCTGCGATGCATGTCCAGCTGGAACCTTTGCTTCTGCAGGAAGCAGTGTGTGTGAAGCCTGTCCTGTGGGGCACGTGTCCAGCCCAAACAGTGGTGCCTGCGAGAGCTGTGAGAGCATCTTCATCCGATCAACTCCTGATGACAAGAAACAGAGCTGCCAAGTGCTTGCTATGGATGTCGTTCTTGGCCTGATCTTCTTGAGTACATGCTCTTGCTTTTCTTTTCTGTCTTTGACAGGCTTCTCGGGGCGCATTCCCATTTCAGATGTGTCTGCACAGGGTCAAAAGGTTGTGGTGACAACTTCCACTGCGCACGGTCTCCACAAGTGGGCATGCCCAAAGGTGACCTTCGCTGGAACCGATGTTCCCGATCTGGAGTCGTCGAATGACTGGACCATCAAAGCCTTGAGCTTGTACCAAGTGACGCTGCATGGCGAGAGCCCCATGTCACTGGACACGTCCAAAGGACATTTGTACGTGAAGTTTCCGCAAGTCTTTTGGTCCACTGGTCTTTGGCATTGTCCACTCCTATTGTGGTGTTTGCTCTTTCTTGCAGCCAGTGCAGGGCTCGCAAGCCAGCTCACTTGGTCACTGACTTTGCTGTTGTGTGCTCTCGGTCTTTGCGCGGGGTTCTTGGCTTTCGCACTGCGGAGGAGGTGGGGAGAGGTTCCGGAAGTGTCCAGAAAAAGGGTTGTGACCGCAACGCATAGTCAGAAGTCATGCAAAGATATGCTGACCCATCTGTGATTGTCAACAGGATGACCCCAAAACTGATCTTTTGGATAGTCTGAACAAACCTCTTGAGTTGCATTCCAGGCAAGGTGAAGCAACGCCACTGGTGAAGAGGCGACGACAATTCCTCAAGGAGTGGCCTTTGGCTCTTGAACGATGTAGCCGTGGCCCTGACCGCTCGATGACTGCGGGGAAACTTCACGATTTCTTGCAGAGACTTGACTGAAGAAATGAACAACACCAGACAGTGTGTGGAATAACCACTTCCACATATTTAAAAACAACACGCCCTCTCCCCCCCAGAAGAACCCCGGGTGCTTTTTTGTTAATAGTGGATCCCCAAAGATGGAAACCTGGGAAGAGCTTCAAAGCCGAAAAGTAACCCAGGAAAGTTATATACAGATGTAAAATCCTTTATTAAATCATTGAAAAACCATCCAAATCGAAGGTATTTCTTCCTTTTCCCTCTACAAAAACATACAAACACCCTTCATTAAAATAGGGATTCGTCGATATTCTTTGCTTATAGACTCTCAATGACTCTTATAGACTTAAGTTTCATCAGACTAACGACTACAGATTCGAAAGGTGATGTCGCTGCAGTGCCATGCATCTTGCGCGGCCTCGGTGGAAAGTGCGTTTGCGTGGCTTTGTGCCAGTGGGGAAGGGTGCGCACGTGCGTGGAAATGCGGCGTGGCCCTAGTGACCACCAGGGTGGACAACCAGGGTAGACGGCCACGGTCGTTTGGGAACCTAAAAAAAGAAACACTCACCCAAAATCGACCATGTTTGTAGTGTAATAGCAGCTTGAAGAAGGCGGCGTTTCAAAGACACATAGAAGCCCGATTTATGGGCACAAGAGCCAAGCGCCGGAAGCTTGACGCAGCTTTCTAGCCTAGCCGGTCTCACGGAGCCACGAAATGCGACCAAAAACTGACCACCAACAGCCCCAACGAGTTGCATGCAACAACCAATAGGGAATGGATGGGAATGGTATATCCTCCTAGCGTAGCAAGTAGCAGGTCAATTGTTCTTCGGTTCCCAGTGCTTGGCACCTTGAGGTTCTTCGAGACCTTCATCAAGGAGCGATCCATGTACTACGCATGTTCCAACATTGTGAAGCCGCTGACCAAGCCCTTTCAGCTGTCCTTCGTGGAACTGGTTGGTTCCAGGAAGATCCAATGGTTCGCAAGTCACTACTGGGGCATGCCACTTCGCCACTTCAGCGATGCCATCCGCAAACATGCCCAGTGCTTTGAAAGGGATTGGCGAGATTCAGCATATTGGATCTGCACCTTCAGCAACAGTCAGTGGCATGTGAAGGAAGAGCTTGGGAATGGACAATGGGAGAATTCATCCTTCTACCTTGCTCTGAAATCTCCAGAGTGCAAGGGCACCACCATGATTATCGATGAATTGGTTTTGCCACTTCAACGAATTTGGTGCCTTTTTGAAGTGTACCAAACCATTAGCCTGCCGCGGAGTGACCCGTTTCACGGGTTGCTTCTTTGTACCTCCACGGGCGTTTTGCAGCAAGGCAAAGCTGGTACTGATGTCGCTGTGGCCGTGGCCAAAACGGTGGCCGTGCTCGACACACGTGGTGCCCAAGCTACTTCTGAAGAAGATCGTCTCATGATTCATGATCTCATTGAAAAGATGCCAGGAACGCAGATTGCGCTCCTCGAAACGATAGCTACCGTCGGAGAAAGACACATCAGTGCCAATTTTTTGATTCTTAAAAGGTTAAATTCAATCGATTGTTCAGTCACATCAAACTACCCGGATCACCTCTTTTCCAGGAGGCTTTGACACCATGAACACCTTTGTGCGGGATAATATTTGCCAGGCTCTTGAAGCATCTCATCGTCACTACGAGACGACCGTCACTTGGTTTTGCTCAAGGCAAATTTTTCCCGAATGCGTAGCGAAGGGTTCTCGTTTAACTCTTGGGGGTCTGGGGGTGGAGTCTTGTTCGCGACCCGTTGTTTCTATGCTTGCAACCGTCCGCAACCGTCCGCAACCGTTCGCAACCGTTCGCAACCGTCCGCGGTAGAGCGCTAAGGCGCTACCATTGGGGGAAGCTTTTGCAAGTGACTTTTCATGGATGTGTCCCGTGTCAGTTTGCGCCGCTATTCCATTGTGATTTGCATGAGAAAGACATGTCGCGCAAGCAACGTGATGCGTTTCGCTGCACAGGCGCAGCGTTTGGTGAGATCTGCAGATCGCTGCGCAGTTCCATTGGGATTAGCGTTTGGAGAGTCGTGTTTTTGGGGTGTTGGATGTGTGGCATCGAAGCTCTGTTTTCGTGACAAGTCTCAGCTGAAATGCCGATTTTGGTGGATGGGAGTGTGCTCAGAACGGGTCGAAATCATTCCAAACGTGTGGTGTGGTGCAAATTTTGTTGAAGCTCACATGAGATGACATTGCTACTTTTCGTGGCAGGCGCAGGACTTTGTGCGGGTTTTGAGGTGTGGAAGTGGGATTTTCGTGGCAGGCGCAGGGAATCGTGAGGTTGCGATGTGTGGCGGAGGTGACATTTCGTGGCAGACGCAGTACCTTTGTGCGCGTTAGACATGTGGACGCGGAAAGATTCGTGGCAGGCGCAGGGAATCGGGAGGTTGTGGGTTGTGGTAGAGGTGAATGTCGCTGTCACATTGGGATTGGCGTGTGAGCGGGTGTCGTTTGGAGGGGCTGGAATCGCGAAACTGCTTGGCAGGGCTGCGTGATGTGTGTGCTCCGATGGGTGTTTCCGCTGGACTTTTGGAGGAAGTCTCGCGCGAAACGTTCGTTTTGCAGACTTTGACATGTGAGTTTTTGAGGAAGTCTCGTACAAAACGCTCGTTTTGGGGACTTGACATGTGACTTTTGGAGGAAGTCTCGTACGAAACGCTCGTTTTGGAGACTTGACGTGTGACTTTTGGAGGAAGTCTCGTACGAAACGCTCGTTTTTGAGAGGAATCTCGTACGAAACGCTTGTCTTGCAGCCTCGCAGCGTGACTTTTGGAGGAAGTCTCGTACGAAGAGTGTGCCCTACAAGAGTGTCCCACAAGAGTGTCCTACAAGAGTGTCCCACGTCCCACAAGAGGAAACTGCTTGGCAGGGCTGCGTGATGTGTGTGCTCCGATGGGTGTTTCCGCTGGACTTTTTGGAGGAAGTCTCGTGCGAAACGTTCGTTTTGCAGACTTTGACATGTGAGTTTTTGAGGAAACGCTCGTTTTGGGGACTTGACATGTGACTTTTGGAGGAAGTCTCGTACGAAAGGCTCGTTTTGGAGACTTGACGTGTGACTTTTGGAGGAAGTCTCGTACGAAACGCTCGTTTTTGAGACTTGGCGCGTGACTTTTGGAGGAAGTCTCGTACGAAACGCTCGTCTTGCAGCCTCGCAGCGTGACTTTCGGAGGAAGTCTCGTACGAAGAGTGTGCCCTACAGGAGCGTCCCACAAGAGTGTCCTACAAGAGTGTACCACAAGAGTGTCCTACAAGAGTATCCCACAAGAGTTTCCAACAAGAGTGTCCCACGAGAGTGTCCCACGAGAGTGTCCCACAAGAGTCTCCTGCAAGAGTGTCCCACAAGAGTGTCCCACAAGAGTGTCCTGTATGAGTGGCCCACAAGAGTGTCCCACAAGAGTGTCCCACAAGTGTGTCCCACAAGAGTGTCCGACAAGAGTGTCCCATAAGAGTGACCCACAAGAGTGTCCTACAAGAGTGTGCAACAAGAGTGTCCCGTAAGAGTGTCCCACAAGAGTGTCCCACAAGAGTGTCCTGCAAGAGTGTTCCGTAAGAGTGTCTCACAAGAGTGCCCCACAAGAGTGTCCCGCAACCATGTCCCACAAGAGTGTCTGACAAGAGTTAAGAGTGTCCCACAAGAGTGTCCCACAAGAGTGCCCCACAAGAGTGTCCCACAAGAGTGTCCTACAAGAGTATCCCACAAGGGTTTCCTACAAGAGTGTCCTATAAGAGTGTCCCACAAGAGTGTCCCACAAGAGGGCCTAGAAGAGTGTCCCACAAGAGTGTCCCGCAAGAGTGTCCCAAATGAGTGTCCCACAGGAGTGTCCCTTCAGAGTGTCCCACAAGAGTGTCCCACAAGAGTGTCCCGCAAGAGTGTCCCAAATGAGTGTCCCACAAGAGTGTCCCACAAGAGTGTCCCGCAACAGTGTCCCACAGAGTGTCCCAAATGAGTGTCCCACAAGAGTATCCCGCAAGAGTGTCTCACAAGAGTGTCCCTTAAGAGTGTCCCACAAGAGTGTCCCGCAACAGTGTCCCACAAGAGTGTCCTACAGGAGTATCCCACAAGAGTGTCCTACAAGAGTGTCCCACAAGAGTGTCCTGGCAAGAGTGTCCCACAAGAGTGTCCCACAAGAGTGTCCCACAAGAGTGTCCCGTAAGAGTGTCCCACAATAGTTTCCTACAAGAGTGACCCACAAGAGTGTCCCACAAGAGTGTCCTACAAGAGTGTCATTTGGACATATGTAGCTTTTTGAACGTGTTTGCATTCGGGTTCGTGGGTTCCATCTTGTTTATTCTTGTCAACCTCACACCTACCAACCTACAAACAATTGGCAAACTTCAAACCTCCAAATTTGGATTCGGATGGTTTATTGATCGTTTTTCTTCGTTTTGTTTCCTTTCGGTGTGGAGAAAGATCCATGCCAGGTCACCACTTTGATGAAAGATCTCACGACCGCCAAGTCCTCTGGACCGACCACATCCTCCGCACCGACGCTCCCGACTTTGCTCACTTCCTCCACACGCCACGCCACAGCAGAGAAGGTGGAGGAGAAGGCGGGCACCAACTAGACCCAGCAAAGCGCACATCACAAATTTCCCAAGATCCAACATATGAGAAGGTGGAACGCCTTAGGCTGAATGGACCATTTTCCCAAATTTGTTCTGCAAGCTTTTTGTGCGTCTTTGGGCACATCCGAGTGGGTCAAAAACTACAATAGGTGCAGTTACATAGTGGTATACATAGTAGCTAACCAGGTAACTGGTTCTATCTTCAGTGGATAGAAAGATTTGGACCTCTTGTGCCCGAAGTTAATTGGAATTCCAGCATTTTTTTCCAAGAAGTCAGGCTGCACAAGGCAGCCAGCGGCTTTACAATCCTGTCATCTTGCAGGAGAAAGATTTTGCCAGTGGCCATGCTCACAGATTTTAGATCATGTCTGGGCAAACTGTGTTATGTTCTATAGCGAATCATGACCACTTCCCGTCCCTCTCACGGGA